GAATGTCACACCCCACAATACTGAATGTGATCCTCAGGCCAAGAGCTGTCTTGTGACCGACAGGAGAAGGTCCTATACTGGGTGATTGATGGGCTGGGGCCAGAAATGGTGCCATGTACTTAGATGCCATGGTGGATCTGGTCAAAAGACGTGAGGGGCCTTATTTTAGAGGAATGTTTCTAGTTTGAGTGTGAGATATCCTGCCCAGGCTCACGTGATAAAGCCCTTGGTCCCCAGCTGATGTATTGTTTGGGAGGCTGTGGAACCTTAGGGAGGTGGGGGTCTAGCTAGAGGAAGTAGCTTACTGGGGTTTATAGCCTAGCCTGTAAACAGGCTGCCCAGGCCTGAACAAACAGAAGCTGTATTGCTTACAACATTGTTTGACCAATGGCTCAGGCATATTTCTAGCTAGCTCTTATATCTTAAATTAACCCATTTCTATTAGTCTATGTATTTCCATGTGGCTGTGGTGTTACCTCATTTTCTACATGTCTTGTTTCCTCCACAGCTGGCTGGTGTCTGCTTGACTATGCCTACTCTATTTCTGTTCAGAATTCTCACCTGGCTTGACTCTGCTAAGCCGTTGGCCAAAACAACCTCATTCATCAACCAATAAAACAACACATGTACAAGAGGACATCACACATCACTAGCCCATCTTCCAACTAATACCCTTCCTCTGTCAACTTGCCTGTGTAGCACACACACCATCATCATGCCTTCACCATGATGAACTGTATACCCTGAAGTCAGGAGCCAAAATGAGACCTTTATCCCTTAAATTGCATCTTGTGACCATATCTGGTCCAGGCGATGAGAGAAGGAACTTACGCAGCACCTTAGCTGGCCAGGTGGCTTGCTCAAAGTCCTTGCAGTCCCAAGCAGTGCAGTGGGTAACAACAGAAGCAGAAACCAGTAGATAGAGTGAACCAACAAGAGAGAGACACAGGCCCTGCCAGCGCTCAAGTGTGTGTTACTAAACCCTGGTCTATAAGAAGTCCCAGCTTGTAGCTGCTGCTCAGGAGCTATGCCACGACCACGCTGGGGCCAGTCTGGACCAAGGCCAGAGGCCACATGGATGGGGTCAGGAAAGGGCTGCCTTCCCTCTGAGTCTGAAAGATTTCTGCTTGAAGCTTGATTCAACTTAAGGCAGATGTGCCACCCAAGTTGCTCAATTGGGAGGAGGAGAAGGCCCTTGCTCGGATGAGAGGCTCCACCCCTCTGTCCCAGAGCAGGAACACCTGAGCATAGGAAAGACCACATCCGGGTAACTGTCATGAAGAGGATGACATTCCAGGAGGGGACCCCAGGAAAGCAAGATCTCATGCAATAGGACCATCAGGGTGGCCACAGATGAGGAAACAAATTCTTAGTTTTATTTGTTTGTTTGGTTGGTTGTTTTTTTGTCTTGGGGTTTTCTTACTTCCAAAACTGGTATTCGGGGAACCTGTTAGTGGATAAGAGTGTTCACTGTACATGCATGAGGACCTGAATCCAGATCTTCAGTACCCATGACATGCCTGTAGCCCGAGGACTGGGGATAAGGAGGAGAGACAGGTAGAGCCTTCAGGCCCATTGACCTGACATAAGATATCCTGTCACAAGGGGATCGAGAGGAGAAGGATAGAACAGGAGACCTGATGTCCTGTGCACTTCTGGTCCTGTGTATGTGTCCACATGTACATGTATGCATGTATGCACACACTGGCACATGTACATATACACACACAGACACACATACACACACACAGACACACATACACACACACACACAGAGAGAGAGAGAGAGAGAGAGAGAGAGAGAGAGAGAGAGAGAGGTGGAAACAAAGAAAAAAGAACACTTTTAAAACTATATAGCAAGATATCAGTTGTTGCTACATGCTTGATGCTTATAAACATCAAGCCATCCTGTTAGCAGTTATGGAAGAGGAAATGGATGTTCAACACAAATGACTTTCCAGTGTGTGACTAGCTCATGAGTGGAGGACAGATGTGGATGGCTTTACGGATCGCACTCTTTATTCTCTGAATCCCTTGGTGCCAATGTCCTAATTGTATTCAGGCTCCCCCAAGGTCACAAACTGGTTAGTTTCTTTTCTAAAGTCACGGTAGTTGTGCCTGTTCAAACGTTGCCAGCAGGCAGCTCAGAGCCATGTGTGTGCATGCGCCTGACGCAGGTGTGCATTCGGGAGAGCGATGTTTACCTGCGCAAACACCGGATTTGACTTAAGGCAACCAGCGACTGCTCTCATCGATCAAACCCAAACACCCAGAGAGAATGCCTAGCTGGGTTCTAACGCATGCAGTGGAGGAGGTCAGCCTCTGAGGCATGATGGGAGCATAATTCTTTTCCATTAAGACCTGGAAACATCTGTTCCCCACAGCCCATTTAAAAGCTACACTTTATTAGGTATTGGTTAATGATCGCAGAGCCATTTGCTTTTAAAAGCAGGTACTCTTCTCGGCTCTTAGAGCTGGTGTTTGAGACCCAAGGGGAGAATAAATGAGTCTCCACCCAAAATGTGGGTGTCCCCAGTAGAGCCCCAGAGAGTAGAAGCAGTAGTAAAGTATCCAGTGGAGAGTTCCCCCTTGGTTCTATCTTCTCGTCTCCCTATAATCTAGGCGATTGTTGCACTTGAGTGACAATTGCAGAGTTTGTCATCACCTCTAGCTCTGGGATGCCTTCCTGGGGCACACAGAAACAAGTGGCCCCTGACGTGGGCACCGTGAAGGCGGACAGTTCCACTACCGTCTCAGTACTTTTGTATTCCAGTAGACCTGATCACTTGTCTGCGATTTCTGGGGCGGTGTGAACTTTACTAGCTGCTGTCTGATTCTACAGGAACAGCAAACCCCCACCATGTGAGCATAGTCTGGCAGGAGTCTGCAGCCAAGAGCTGCCCGTGGTGGCAAGTCACTGGGCTGGAGACCGGGGATTCCCTTCAGTGAGCTGTGCTGTGCTTCCCAAGTATGTTAGAGCTGGGAGGACTTCCGCGTTCCGGTATGCCACAATTTTCCTAGAAGTCTAAGTTGAAATTTTCAGAGTGCATGGGCTGAGTGTGTGGCTTGGTAGCAGGACAAGTGCCCTAGGGTGGATGCCGAGCACCATCACTGCCTCCTCAGATGGTAAGACTCTTTGTCTATTCCACTTTGGAAATGTTGAATGAACTTCTACCGAAAATCCAATGCCCTGAGCAGTGCATGATGGGAAGGCAGGCTTAAAGCAGCTTTAGAATTTTAACAAGTTTCAACATCTTTTGAGCTCATCAGAACTTGACTCCCTGTCTGTATGACTCTAGGCATCTTATCCTTCTACCTTGGTATGGACCATGAGTGGGGCCTTCAGTGTGCGGCTCTGGAACCGCGTGGATGGCAGAAGTGGTTTCTTCAAATGAAGGGTGTATAATACTCTTGTTCATTGGCTCTCCACCTCAACTGTGCATCAGAGCCCATGGAGCTTTCTTTGTTTTTGTCTTTCTTAGGAATTCCTTTTTAAAAAAGTTTTAACTTATGTGTATGTTTCCACGTGTGTGCACCTGAGTCTAGTGGCCCGCAGAGCCCAGAGGCATCAGATCCCCTCGTCCAGGCATTATGAGCCACCTGACGTAGGTGATGGGGTCCAAACTCAGTTCCTTGGGAAGAGCAAAAAGTGGTCTTAATTATTGAGCCATCTTCCTGGTACCCATTGAACATTCTGCACATAAGGCCTTTGAGCCATCTCTTGGGTCCCTGTTGACCGTTTTGCACACAAGGGCCATTAAGCTGTCTCTCTGGCCCCTGTTGAGCATTCTGCACACAAGGCCATTGAGCCATCTCTCTGGCCCCTGTTGAGAATTCTGCACATTATGCCAAAGCAATATTCCAGAGAAGGAGTCACAGAGTTGAGCTGGAATGCATTCACTTCTTGGCTCCTAATGATGGAAACATGTGACCGTCATGGAGAACCATTACCACTGTGCTAAGAGAAAACAACAGGCATGTCACATTACAGAAACCAATTTGGCTCCATTCTGATGTGGCCAAGTTATTTATGTTTCAATAACTTGAGTTGTCTATAGAGTGTTATTTTCAGATCCAAATTTCTTGAACTTGACAGGTGAAGAGAGCACATGTGCAATTTAAATATGGCTTCATGTATCATTTATTCAATCCTAATAGCAAGGTGATCTGTGCTAGGGAGGGTGGGTGCTGGACTCAAGGCTACAGGCAGGTGAGACAGTTGACCTCCATGAAGGAAGTTCTCGATTTGTTGAATGAAGCAGGTGAATGGCTGATTCTAATCCAGGACGAATGAAGAGAAGCTGATTACATAACAATGGCCTTCATCACAGTGGATGTCCATCCCAACCCTGGCAGGCACACAGAGAGCCCCAGCTTTGGATCAGGGTGTTTGATTGAGACCACAAATTGAGCACTCCTGGGGCTGATCTGCTGTCATAGGAGAATTTCCAGCGATGAGCTCTGTACCTTCCAGGCCCATTGTGTGGCAACACTCCCTCTCCTGGCTCGGTGCTGCAGGCTTTGCATCCCCAGGAAAATTGACAACTCGCTGTGGAGAAATGACCATATATTCATTTTGTGAACAAGACAATGTTGGTTCATTAGTTATTTTTGTCTTCCAGGGTGTCGTGCTCTGCTTTGGGCTGGGGGACCTCTTTATTTCTGACCCATGCTCCACTGCAGCCTTCTCATTGGAAGAGGGAGGTCCATAAAGTCAACAAATGAATACCAAACCGTGAAGAACACGAACTTCCTATCCCAGACACAGGCCACCTAGTGCACAGCTAACTGCACCGCCCATGCCTAGGTGAGCCTCTTTCTCCCGTTAGACTCAAACATTAGGCAATGAGGAAACAGTAGAAGTTGACAGTTCTTCCGCTCAAGTAGACCAGAACGTGGTATCTGAAGGGGATTGGTTCTAGAACCTCCGGTGAGATCACAATCTAATGACACCTGAGTGCCTCCATAAAACCAGGTAGTATTTATGCCTAAATCCATGGCCGCGCATGCTCTAAACCCTCCCTTAGACAACTGTATGAAATAGCCTTGCTATGTGTGACATGGGAACAATGATGAGATGGCCGTCATACATGTTCGGCACAGATGAATGTTTGATGAGTGTTTTCCATGTGAGAGTGGGTGGGTACCGAGGGCAGACTGCATGTCAATGGCACTTGATTCCTCTTAGATATACCACTTTGCTTCCTCCAGATTCACAAATCCATGGAACAACTTTCAAGCCTCAGTCTGATTCTGAAAATTCATTTTTTGTTTTAATGTATGTACAGGGACTTGATTATGTGGATTTGCTTTTAGTGTGTGTCGGGGGTGGGGGGGAAGAAGGAAAGGAGAAAGGGAAGGAGAGAGAGGGAGAGAAAGAGTAGATACCAGAATATCAGAGAACAACCTTGGGTGTTTCCTCGGGCACTGTCCACTCTTCTTTACGGGTTACAGGTTCTCTCTCACTAGTTTGGGAGTTGCCAAGCATGCTAACCTAGCTGGGCAGTGAGACTCAGGGTTCCTCCTGTCTCTTCCTTCTCAGGGTTGGAAAACACTTGCTTATTTGCCAGGCTTCTCAATGAGGTTTGATGATTGGAATCAGGTCTTGGTGCTTGCAAGTCCAGAACCCTACTGACTGACTAAGCCTCATCTTGGCTCTTTTGTTTTGCCAGGTAGAGTTACAGTTGGCCTGTTCTCCCATCACCTCGTCTTTGGCTAGTTAACCAAGGCAGGCCTTATTGCTGTTAGTCCATTGAAATGCGCGGGAGTATGAGAAAGAAGCCTATGTGTGGTACATCTCACTCTTAATGGGCAAGAGCAGCAACAGAGGGATATTTGTATTAAGTGTGCAGATGTGTGCAGATGTAATGGAGGGCAGGCTTGCTGTGGTTTCAATCCTCCCTCAAGGTCACTGTTCACCATAGCTGTTCGGACGATAGAGCTTTAGTTTTCTTCCATGTAAAACAAGAGGTAGAGGTGGAAAACATGATGGGGGGGTGGAGTAAAGAGACGGGTATGTTAGCCTGTAACTCCATCTGAGATGCAGGTCTACATAGGCTATCACAAGACACAAATGAAGAAGCATGGGGGCATGGTGGTCAAACGGTACCTCTTGGAAGGGCTCAAGGTCACAGCCATCTTCACACACAGGGCTGTCCCTTGATGGTGAGGCACATGTCATTGTGTTTACGGTCAATGGAGGCCCAGATCTCCTGACTGCAGCTCTCTAAAAGCAACTGGAGATTAAAGAAGCCTGAGTCAGTATACCATGTGCCTGGTACCCAGGGGGCGCCCCAATGTCAGCTCTGTCCCCCTCTCTTCATGGTTCACAGTGGGAGACTCTGAGCACCAGACAACCCTAAGGACATTTTCACAACACTGGCCTTTGGGTCCAAGCATCTGGTTTCTAGACAGCTGTAGCCGAAAGGCCCTTGCTCTTTGGCTAATGGCTAAGGATTAACTAGGTGTGTGTTGGCTTTAAGAAAAAAAAAAATTGAAGCCAACAGTTGGACTATTCCTGCTTTGTGTTTTTGGCTGGCTGCTTCCTGCTTCATAAATCTGGAGAGGGATGTGGGGGAGCTGACGAGCTACTCCCTGTGCCCCAAGCCTGGCTGTGTTGGGGTAGGGGGAGGCGGCCACGGTACCTCTCTGGACCAGCTGCCGTATCCATCTGCAGCTGGGCCTCTCCGTGATCTACGGCCAGAGCGCTGCGCCCAGAGCCTTTATTGCGGCTTCACAGCAGCTGGTGTGAATGGGAGTGGAAAAATAAACCCGTCTCTTCCCCAGCACTAGGAAAAATGCTCCCGAACACAAACAAGCAAACACTCACCTTGCCTCGGCTGCTGAGGACCCAGTTATCTGTGTGTTGCTGTGAGACCCTGGTTTGCAGTTTCATTTTTAACCTCTCAAGCTGATGGATCAAGGTTAAATTAGCATCCATGGCCAACAAGAGATGAGAGAGAGTCCCAAGAAAGAGCTGGCCTTGAGGTAAGAGAAGCATCATGACTTTCAATGAGTCTGGATCACAGTTTGAGAAATGCTCTTTATAATGACAGATGGCAAAAGCTATTCCTTAGCTGTTGACAGTCCTGCGCTTTATGGGACCAGCGAGGCAGCATTTGAGGGTACAGAGAGCCTGCGCACTACCCAGCCAGTCCTTACTCAGGCTTACAGATAGCAAGCAGCGAATCAGCCTGCCACGCTTCAGTAGACACACACAGAGTCCCCACGGCTCAGTCACCAGCAGCAAAGACGCTGGTCAGAGGTGTGCCACACAGTAGAGGCGGGCGTACACTTCGTTTCCCCTGCAAGTCTTTCCAGGAGATACAGATCAGAGCCAAGTGACTGGTATGGACATACGACAGGCTCAGAAGTGGCTCAGAACTCTAGCGAGGACGATGAAGGTGCAATCAGATTTAGGGCAAATGCGTCCAAGGAACACAGCAGAGTTGGCCAGCACTGGGCGTCATGGCACAGGACTGTTGAAAGACCCAAACACCCCACCACCCCACAGTAACACCTAAGGGAGTGAGTGAAGGCACCTTTTTTTTTTTCTGAGACAGAATTTCTCTGTGTAACAGCTCTGGATGTCCTGGAACTATGGAACTAGCTCTTGTAGACCAGGCTGGCCTCGAACTCACAGAGATCCACCTGCTTCTGCCTCCTGAGTGCTGGGCTTAAAGGCGTGTACCACCACTGCCCAGCTGAAGTCACTTCTTCATGGTGACTAGTAAGAATTATTTTCTCCATGAAGCCTTTTCTCAGCGCTTAGCTAAGTGATGATCTCTTTTCCTAGGCACCAGTACTTTAATTGATTTACATTCTGTGTATCCTAGGGGATTTAAATTACACCCTTTAGATCCTTAAGGGCAGCAACAGCATGTGTTACGTCTCATATATATTTGGCAGGGCAGTCTCGTGTATACTTGTCTTCTTTGCCTAAATAGACAGCTCTCAGTTGAGTTCCTGGTAAGTGCTGGCTGCCTTTGACATCTCTCCTGACCTGGTGAACAGGGGCAGTCAGCCAGACTAAAGTCTATTACGGGACGCCCACCCTTATGTGCCATCTGCACCTTCACAGGTCCTTCTCCCAGCCCAGTCCAGAGTCCAGTGGAGAGGGAAGGAGGGAGCTAATCGGAGAGACTGTGCTGATGTGAATCCAGAGGACAGACACTGTCCCTGGCAGTGGAGCAACGGTTGAGCAGACCCTGGCTGGTGACTTCAGACACAATAGCCATGTCCCCGGAACATCTTAGCTTCAGTATCACAGGTGAAGAATACCCCGCTCCCCAATACATGGTTTTGGTTTTCCAGCGTTCCATCAGTTTCAGTCTGGAAACGTTAGATATAGTGATATAGCAAGCCTTATATTGTGCTCGGTGTGGATCAACATGTGAAGTCCACACTATCCCTCCTGGGGTGTGGGTCGTGGACTCGCTCCTAAGTCTAGCATATCCATGCTCTGCCCATTGCCTGCTGGTTAGTCACATGGGCCAGGGTTTTAGTGATCACATTGACTGTGAGATATCACCAGCACTGAGTTCAGATGCCCTTTGCTTTCGTACATGATGAACCTCGGGCACCCAGGTGTGGTGCTGTCGAATTTATTACAGTGCAGTTTTATAATTATTTGATTTTGTTACAGTTGATAACCTCCTACTTCATCTTGTTTATAAGGTAAACTTTGTCACAGGCGTGTGTATGTAAGGAAAAAACAGAGCATATGAACTTGGGGTTGGTGCTGTTCATGGCATCTTCTGGGGGTCTTGAAACACACCCCCTGCGGATGGGAGGTTACTCTAAAGCAGTGGTTCTCAACTTGTGGGTTGTGACCACTTTGGGGTTCGCCTAAGACCATTAGAAAACAGATATTTACTTTATGGCTCATAACAGTGGCAAAATTGCAGTCATGAAGTAGGGACGAAGCAATTTTATGGTTGGGGTCCCCACAACATGACAAACTGTATTAAAGGGTCGCAGCATTAGGAAGCTTGAGAGCCACTGCTCTAAGGCCTTGGAGTCCTTGTATTCTTGACTCCAAGAATACAAGCAGCAGCGTAGGGCAGCTTCTCACAAAGACGCACCCATGATCCTAGTTTATGAATGGCATAAGGAAGGGTGGGTCAAGCCTCATGGAAAGAGGAGAAGAAAACGATAACAATGGTTTATTTTTCCAGAAAATGCACATTAAAGAAAATCAAGACTAACGTGGGCTAGTGGGGTGGCTCAGTGGGCAGAGTTGTTGCTGCTAACCCTGAAGAACGGAGTTCACTCCCTGGAACCCGCATGGTAGAAGGATAGAAGCAGCTCCTGCAAGTTAGCCTCGAGCTTTCACATGTGCACAGGCATGTCACATGAACACACATGCATAGCACATAAATAAAAATGTTATGAAAAGGATTAATTGGAGACTTAATAAAAACTACAGGCCTTTCTCATACTCTGCCCCTTACGTCCCCTCTCAAATTCTTTTTGTAATTTCTTTGAGTTCAGAACTTGGGAGTTTTAAATAAAATGTGTTTCCTACTGTGGAAGTCAGGAGTCTAGAGGTCAGACTGCATCCTACCCAGATGTCTTTCATGTAAAACATGATTTTTAATGTACCCAGAAATAATTATTTTTTGCAAGAGTTGAGGCTCACTCACACTTTATGCATAAAGATATCAAATATAAATATATAAGCACATATATACAGTGTATATTGAGGTGCATCAAAGCTAAGGCCAATAGCATGCTCACAAGGACTCTGACACTGAATCACGCCCCTCCCTCCAACCCTGAGTCAAATGGAATCTTAATAGTTTTCTGTGTATTCTCTTTCCTCGGCGAGTTAGTAAGTGTTGCTCCCCATTACAGATACAAGCTAACATACCACCACATTACCAATGCCTGAGAAGCCCTTTAAAAGGAAGTTTGCTCTGGCTCTCTGCTCCAGTGTGTGCTGGACTGCCTTCTTTACAGCTTTTCAACAGGCGAGCATAGAGGAGCAGAGCTGCTCCCCTCCTTAGCAGCCAGGAAGCAGAGAGAGAGACTTAGAAACCCGACAGAGCATGTCATTCCAGGGCACAGCCCCTGCTTCCTCGCGCCACTTCCTGTCTCCTGGTTCCCATGCCTCCCACAATGCAGTCCAAACACAAAAGCCCAGGGACTAACCTGTCCACCAGTCAGGACTTTCGGAACTCATTTCCCCAGCTTGGAGACCAAGCCTTCAAAGCAGGAGCCTTTGTGGCTACTTCACATCAAACCAGAGCAGTGTCCTCCCCTCATGTTCCTCTTCTAGGATTCATCTTCCGCACTGAAGACTTTTTTCACGTATCTGGTGCTCCCAGAATTTCTGTTTAAAAAAGCAAGGGTTACCCAGCTGATGAGCCTGTCTTGTGAATAAGGTGAGCATCTGGGCTTTATAAGGTGTGCCCTTAGGCTATGCTCTTTCTTTCGGCTTTCCTGGGGCATGATGGGAACACCTAGTTAGGTTGTGTCTCTTCTCTTCTATTCTGGGCACTTCTGTTTGTTCCTCTAACCTGAGCTAGACTCTCTCTTCGCCAACGACATCTGAATCTACAGACAGATTCAGTTTCAATGTGACTTCTATCCAGATGGAACGGGCGGAGCCCATTGGAAACACAAATGGGCGTGTCAGTGAGAGTGTCTCCAGAGGGGTTTGATGGAGGAGGGAAAGAACGCACCCTGAATGCGGCAGCGGCGCCCTGTGAGCTGGGGTCCTGGGCTCAGGGAAAAGGAGAAGACGAACTGAACATCGACATTCACGTCTCTCTGCTTCTAGACTGTGGGTGTCATGTGACCTCACATTACAGCTGCAGCAGCTGGAGCTTTCTATGCACCCCTGATTTCCTCGTCGTGACAATCCCCCGGGTTGTAAGGCAGAATAAACATGCCCTTAAATCGCTTTGGTCAGGCAGCCTTAAATTGTCCACTATGATGAAACAGACTTGGAGGCCATCCTGCCTGCCAGACGTCCCAGGGATAACCTGGACAGGTGCTGGCTGATGACGGAGAGTCAGGGGTAGCACCCGAGGATTAGTAAGGAAGAGGTGGGGTGATGCCAAGATAAAACCACACCAAGAAATGCCCTATAGTGATATTTTATTTGCACGTTAATAAGTTTTGCCTGAAGATCAGATTGCAAAGCTAAACCACTAGAGGCCAGGGAGTGCTGGCACATACCTTAATCCCAGGACTCAGAAGACAGGGGCAGATGGATCTCTGAGCTCAAGGCTACTCTGGGCTACACGGGGTTGATTCAGAAAGACATCCAAGTGGTGGTAGCTCACACCTTTAATCCCAGCACTAGTGAGGTGGAGACAGGAGTGGTATGGCTGGGCAGAGAGAGGATACAAAGGGGAAGAGACAGGAACTCAACGGAGTCTGGAGTCTGAGGTTTGGTGGAGACAGATGCAGTCTGAAGGCGGGATCACCCCTTTGGTCTGAGCATTGGTAGAAGTAAAGGAACTCTCTAGTGACTGGTTGGTTGATTTGCTTTTCTGATCTTCAGCTTGAACCCCAATGTCGATCTCTAGGCTTTTATTTTTCGTGCTGCAGAGCCCACATTGTGTGCCAGCAGCAGAGGTGGCTCCTGGGGTTGGTGAGATTCCTATCGTAGGAAGGAAGGCTAGCGAAGCACCCAGAGGGCTCAGTGTACCCTTCGCTTTCTGCTGCCATAGGCTTTCCTTCACGTCCCTTCTTTCCTGCCTTTTCTGCTGTCATAATCTTCCTGATAGGTACTTTTATTACTCAATCCCACAATGCACTTCTACCCCTCCCTATTTATAGCTTGTTGAGGGACTCTGGGTTTGCACCACTTTTAGTAAAAAGCACAGAGGGTTTGATTTGTTTGAAGAGGTTTTCTTTCCCCTAAATTATTAAAATGAGCATTTCACACTAATCAAAAGAAGTCTGTGCTAGGGTAGCTGAAGATGGATAGACAGAGAGATTGAAGTGTGTTCTGGTAACTGAACAGCTTCAAGGTCCGTGTGGAAAAGTTGCTCGAGGTGGCCACGTTTTGAAGATTGGCAGAGCTCAAAACCCTGTTTAAAAATAAGACAGCCCCGTCTCAGGTTGAAAATAGACAGAGTTTATTTTCAAAATGCCATCCAAGAGAGGGTCAGAGGTGCCCACCTGGTCCTCATTTCACCAGTTGTGAAAAGAGAAAGTTGTGACCAGAGAGCGTCCAAGAGACTCACGGGTTTGGCCGAGCACCCAGAAAACAAAGGAAGCCAAGTTTTTATTGAGTGTCTATTATCTGCGAGCCCCTGCATGGGGCTCTTCCCATGCATTTATCTCTTTCATGCAGTAGTGATGAGGGGCAGGTGGCTGCCTTCCCGGCTTCCTTTGGAGAAGCTGAAGAGTGGCACTCCCTAAGCTGGAAGAACCCCAGGCCCAGGAAGCAGGATGTATCCAGACTTGTCTGTACCCCACAGCTGCCTTTTACATCCAAGAGCATCTGTGGAGCCGCTGTTTCCCTCCGGCCACACATGGCTCTGAGAAGAGACCTCCAGAACCCCAGAGTAAGCTGGGAGGGAGAGCGAGTCCCTTCAGTATTGCTCATTGCTAGTGACAGTCTGTCTTCACCATCTTGATGCCCAGGGTCAGTTTAAATCCTCGGGTGTGCCAAGAGCCCCATCTGTTCCTCCATCTGAAATGGGAAGATTTTGCTCTTTTTTTTTTTTTTTTAAAAAAAATCTTGATTTGGTCTTTTGGTGTTTGTGTTACAAGCTTCAGCCTAGAGTTCAATTATGAGCAAATGGATTAGACCCTATCAGGAAATGAGTGAACAGGACTGTGGAAGGAATGCAAGAAGGGGGCAAATGAAGTCTTTATGTTACACCCAGTCCGTATGACTCAGAGAAGGAACATAGGAACCTCAGAGACTCCAACAGACACTGGGCTCTGGCTCCATGTCTAAGTGTGAAGAAGGGTTGGGAAGATACTGAGGATTCGGACAAAACACCTTAAAGAGACAGTTGAAAATGCAGCTGTGGTCATGGGGCCACAACTGTTAATTTCTGTTCTCGTCTTCGATAGACATGCACCTGAGAAGAGGGGACACCTAACTGGAAGGCACACTGTGTTGGTGTCTGCAGACCTCTGGGGTCCCACCCTTCCACAAAGAAAGCCATGTCTCTCCCATATAGGAAAGTGGATGATTGCAGAGTTACAGAGCCCGAAGCCGTCAGGGCTGGAGATGGGGAGTCAGGGATGGAGGGAATGAGTATGTATTAGACATCACAGGAATATGGTGAGGGTGGCCTGGGTTCCTGCCACTCACTGATGGCCAGAGTCGTCTTCAGTCATTTCTTCATCTGGAAAGTGGAATTAGGCATGGTTGTCCATGGGCTGACAGGATGAGCAAGGGTGCAGCCATGTTTGACTGATTGTGTGAGGTAAACCACATAGCCATGATTACTCTACTACAGCAATTCCCAACCTGTGGGTCAGGACCCCTTTGGGGTCACATATCAGATATCTTGCATATCTGGTATTCACATTATAACTTATAACTGTACTAAATTACAGTTATAAAATAACGATGAAACAGTTTTGTGACTGGGGGTCAGCACAACACAAGGAACAGTATTAACTGGTCACAGCATTAGGAAGGTCGAGAGCCACTGTTCTCACAGTTCTTCCTCGATACTGTGGTAGAATCAGCAGGAGACAAAGGGCTGCTTTGGCTCATATTTCCACAGGGACTTCAGTCAAACGCAGAAAGTTCAGTGTTGGGAGGCACAGTGCCCAGTGACAGGAACGCGAGGCAGCCAGTCCTCATGCGGGAAAAGGGGACAGAGAGCATAGGCTGGAACCAAGGTGTATGACCCCCAAACCCAGCTCCTGGTGACCTACTGCTACCATCCAGGGCTCAATGCTAAGGTCTCCATAGTCTTCAAAACAGAACAGTACCACCAGTCTGTGGGGAATGTTCCAAATTTCCAGCCCTAAGATGGCAAGTATCTCTTCGAGTGGAGGAAGGGCAGACCTAAGGCGAGCAATTTTTCTTTGTTTAGCTCTCTGCGTTGCCTCGTCTATCGATGAGTGTCCAGTCTTGGTTGTCACTATGACAGAGCTGTGGCATCCAACAGAGAAGGAGGAATCTTCAGGTTGCAACAGGAAGGTGAGCTCATGTAGATGGCAGGCTCCAGGCTCCTGCAGGTGGATTTTGCCCTGCACTGCAAAGAATCCACAAGGTTCTTTGCTAGCTCGGCTATCCCTTCATAAGAAAATGGGGTATTTCTCTTTTCCAACTCTGAAATTAGACTCCCTTGTAGGAATTTGTGGGAGGGAATATGAAAAAGTATCTGTGGTAATTTAAATTAAAATGTCCCCTATAGTCTCCTGGGGAAGTGGCATTATTTGAAAGAATTAGGGTGTGGGGCCTTATTGGAGTAGGCATGGATTGGCGGAGGGAGTATGTTACTAGGTGTGGGCTTTGAGGTTTCAGAAGCTCAAGCCTGGCCCAGTGGCTCAGTGTCTCTTCCTGCTGCCTGCAGGTGCAGATGTGGAACTCTCCGCTCCTTCCAGCATCATGTCGGCCTACATGCTGTCATGTTTTCCACCATGATGAGTCTGAATCTGTAAGCCAACCCTAATAAAATGAGTTGCCACAGGCATGAGGTCTTCTCACAGCAATAGAAACCCCAACCCAAAGAGTATTCAACAGGTTGTATTTGGGTTTGTCCAAGTGTGGGCACTCTTGGCATGGCAGTTTGAATAAGAAAATGCCCCCACTGACTCATGCTATTGAACACAGCCCTCAGCCAGTGATGCTGTTTTGGAAGGTTCTAGAACCTGGAGGTGAAGCCTTGCTGGAGGAAACATGCCATTTGGATCTGACTTTGGTAGTTGATAGCCTCCCATCTCTTCCAGTTCACCCTTGACTTCCTGTGTGTGCACGCTGGAGACGGTTCCTGCAGGCACGCCTCACCGTCATTATAAACTGCCCCTTAAGTTGCCTGTGTGTTTGCTTCTCACAGCAAGCATAGATGATAATGTAATTCTACCTGAGATTCTTAACTGATACACAGCGATGGTTGCCAGCTCTCATAGACTCCAGATCACCTGTCTTCAAACAGGCATCTTCAGGTATTAGGGACACTTACTGGATGGACCCCTTATCGTGTTCTAAATAAAAGCTGAACTTCATTTCTCATGATGTTCCTAGGATAAAATTGTCTGACAAAAGTAACTGGGTGGTGGCGGCAGGAGGGTTATCTCTGCTTGATGTTCAAGCTGATATGATATGTCCATCATATTGTAGAAGTTAAGGTAATCTGTGCTTGAGGCAAAAGGGCACATGAAATCCAGTCAGGAATCCGGGAGTTATGAATGGTTGTGTCTGTCCTCCCTTCTCCCTTTCATGCAGTCTAACCCTGCCCAGGGAATGGTGCCACCCACGTTTAATGTGGGCCCTCCCACCCCAGGTAACCCAGTCAGCACAGGCATGCCCAGAGACTAAGTGCTCCCTCCCAGGTATGTATGCCTGGATGCTTGCCCCACAGATAATTCCAGATCTCGTTAGTTGACCACAAAAGGGAAAATCGGGATACAAAAGAGAACACTGTGAAGGTATTTCTGTCACCACCTTGGCAGGGGGTCATTTTATTATTCCTCTTATTATCTAATCTCTAAGTGAGTCTCAGCCTGTGGGTCGCGACCCCTTTGGGCTCGCATATCAGATACCCTGCATATCTCATATTTGCATGAGGATTCATAACAGTAGCGCAACAACCTTTACAAAATAACAAGGAAGTACTTTTAGGGTTGGGTGGTCACCCCGACAGGAAGAACTGCATTAAAGGGTGGCAGCATTAGGAAGGTCGAGGACCACTGCTCTAAAGTAAGAACTTCCCCAGCCATCAGTTTCACATCCCACCTTCATGGAAAGCTAAGGCGCATTAGGAGACGAATGATAGAATTCTTTCCCAAGACAGAGAACAAACTGAGCCCAGGCCTGAATGCTTGGGAGTGTTATGGCGTCTAGTGTTTTAGGGAAACCAGGGGACTGTGTCTTTGAATTCATTGACAAGGTAAGAGCAATGATGGCCTTGTCACCTCCAGGGTCCTGTCACAGGGTCAAGGCAGAAGAGCAAGGGTGCAGCTCTCCTCATTCCCCCTGTGGCAGTTAGACAGGCAGAGTTCACAGGTTCTTAGCTGGGGCAAGGCGCCTGTGGGAGTGGCTTCTCTATGCAAAAACACTCCCTCAATCCGCCAGGTCCTGGCCCTCGAGGTCTGACACACAGAAGGGGTTCCCTAGGCCCCCACTTCTCATGGCTCTCACTAAGAAGGGTCACCTCTGTTTAAGTTTTCCTGGCAGAGCAAATCCGAGGCTTGGATTTGCTTGGGTTCTGACACCTTTAGTGTGCTTTGCTTCTCAACCCCAAAAATACTTCCCTTGGGCGCGCTCCTCTGCCTGCCCCTGACCTCTCCTTTGGCTTTCTTTGTTCAGCACAGCAGGGTTTATTCCCTGCAGAAAGAATCCATTTCCCTTTACAGAGGCAGGGAATCTGAAAGCCTCAAGGACCCCACTGCCAATTTCCTTGGAGACTGCATCAGTTTTGTTGCCAACAGCAGGTGGCAGTGTTGTTGTAGGAAACCCCATGGCTTCCAGGGCCCGGGCCAGCCCCAAGATATTTTTACCCGAAAGAGAAAAGGCCCAATATGAAACAAAAACTTGGCAGAAGAAATTCCGAGAAGAATGCAAAGCTCCTGAAAGACTGTAAATTACCAGCGCGGCCTTACACTGAGCCCTAGCTTCGCCAGTCCCCGCTTTGCCAGCCCCTCACCCCCCAATCCAGGCCTCTTGAAAGAGGCGATCTTCCTCAGCAATCCTTAGCTGCTAATGACATCCCCACCGGGCAACACCACTCCACCCCTTCCCACTCAGGTAGGAATGTTGTTCCCAACCAGAAGGCTGTAAAGGAGCTGGAACCAAATGCCCTCTTGTCTCCTGGACTAGAGACCTCAGGGGAATAAAGGAGATTTTGCTGTTGTGAGCTCTGGCCCAGAACTCCTGCCTCAGATCTCCTGAGGCAAACTTCCATCAAGAAGTGCCTGTGCTAAATCTCACCCGAGTTACCAGCTGGGGTCGGGATCATTCAGGTGTGAGCCAAGAGGTAAAGCTGCTTTTTGTCACCAGCCCCCTGTGGCTTGCAAAGCTCAGTCAGGTATAGATTGATGCCTGGGATCCATAGCAACGGTATCTGGGGTGCCTCTCAGGTCTGCTTAAAGCAGTGAAGTGTGTGTGTGTGTGTGTGTGTGTGTGTGTGTGTGTGTTTGTGTGTGTGTGTACAGGTTCATGTGTGTACCCATGCAAGTGGAGGCCAGAGATCAGCCTCAGGGACAGGTCCTCAGGGCTGTCCATGGGTCCTCTCCCTGGCCTAGAGCTCTCTAAGTAGGACTGTTGGCTGCCTGGTGAGTTCTTGGGGGTGGCCTGTCTCTTCCCTACTCCTGGGATTTCAAGCACACCCCACCATGCCCAGCCACACCCTTGTGATGGTTATGCAGGTCAGCTTTGCTGCTTTGGTCTTTGCAGATTTTGTGTGTGTGTGTGTGTGTGTGTGTGTGTGTGTGTGTGTATGTGTGTGTGTGTGTATGGAGAGTTGACACATCATGAAATATAAACAAAGAGAGTTTGGGGTGAACAAGAAGGCTACTTTTGCTAGTAAATAGCTCAAACAGACCAGCATATGGTCATAGAATTTAAGTACACAATATAGATACTCCATAAAGAGAGAAAAAAAATAAAGTTGGAAGGGGCTGTCCTGGGTAGCTTGAAATGCCAACTTGACATAGCCTACAGTCATTTGAGATGACAGCATCTGTTAAAGAATTGCCTCAATTGGACTGGCCTGTGGGCACATCTGTGGGGGCTGTCTGACTGGGAACTGATGTAGGAGGGTCCGGTCTGCTGTGGGCAGTCCCATTCCAGAAAGGTGGTCCTGAACGGCTTATGTGCCAGTGGGCAAGCAACATTCTCTTTAGTTCCTTGCTCTACTCCTTTGGTTATGAAATGGGCTTCTTGGTCAGAGGTAGCACAGGCAGTTCTGCCTAGAAGTCCCTCGATAACAGACTGTGATCTGGAGCAGTAAGATGAAATAAACCCTTTCTTCCCCATGTTGTTTTTATTTGCTTTAACACAGCAATAGAACAGAAAGCCAGGATAGAAACAGAGGCTGGCAAGTGGACAGGCAGAGTGGACAGATCATTCTATTGGATGGCTTGGCACCTCCAACCCCTGACAAAGATAGCTGTGAGGTAAGGGGGTTCAGGATCCCAGATACTATTTGATGCAACACAGTGATGGTTCATCTGCTCAACTTCAGATGTAGAATCACCATGGAAACACACCTCTGGGTGTGTCTATAAGGAGTTAATTGGGTAAATTGAGGTGGGATGACCCACCTTCAATGTTAGTAGGGCTGCCCACAGGCTAGCATCCTAGAGGAATTGAAAAGAACAAAGTGAACTGGGCATCATCATTTATGACTTCCTGCTTCCCAGCTTTGGCTGCAATGTGACCAACTACCTCAGGTTCTTGCTTCCATGTCTTCCCTACCGTGTACATACTGTATAAGGGACAGTGAGGTAAAGCAGACCCCTCCTTCCTCCCTTAAGTAGGTTTATTGTGCATTTTGTCCCAATGAGAGAAAAGTAAGCAATACTAGTAGGTTTAACACCCATGCTGTACTTCCTAAGGATGCACCATGAAGTATGCCAAAATAGAAGGACCATTTTTATCAAGGGAAGAGAAATTAAAGTATTTTTCACTGAGAAATGGGCTCTGGACACAGCAGGGAGATTGAACATATGGCCTCATAAGGACTGTGCCAATATGTACAAGACCAGCACTAGTTCAAGCGAATAGAGTCCCATCATGGATAGAGGAGGTGGCATGAAGTTCCATACATAGCTGGGGGGCTAATGCAACCAAAATCTGCAAGGAGAGTGTCAGTTCTTTTTAAGGCTGTGGTCCCTGCTAGATCACCCATACTCCTGGAAAGCCACTGCACCAAGAGTGTATGTGTAAGACAAATTGAACACATTAAAAAAAAAAAAAGGACACAAAGTTGGGTGGGTAAGGAAGGCAGGGTAGATCTTGGAGGGGTTGGAGGGGAGTAAATATAGCCAAAATGGTATGAAATTCTCTAAGAATGAATAAAACATTTTACAGTCCTAGATGCTGAGGCTTTCTCATTGGGAGGAGTTATAGTTTTCCCAGGAGATGGATGCAATATTGTCCAGTTGCACAAACTCAAGAATCCCAGAGACTGAGTTTAGCTGTTTGATCTAGACCCGTGTTACTATTCAACCTCAGGTTAGTCACTTGTCCTTCCAGGTACCAGCTTCCCTGCTGTGAGGCTGAACTTATGACTCTTGCTGATTATAAGCTGATATGAGATTGATGTTGGTTTTAAGGGAGAGAAGGAGCATGCGCGCTGAAGCAGACTGGTGTTGGCTGTGCAGTAAGGAGGTGCTTGCTCACAGCAGAAGAGCCGATTACACCTTGAGTCTACTTCTGTATGCACAGAACAGCATGGCTGTGACCCTCACAGTTAGGGGTAGCAAGGTTGAACTGTCTCCTGAGACACTTGGGTACACATTATAGACAGAGTAGAGACTGCTTGCTGCCGGAGCATGGAAGGGATGCTCCGGCAGCTTACGTAGGGAAGAATGTGATATTAGTGTCTGTCAAGGAAGTGGCCTGGAGAAAGTTTTCTATGAAGAGCCATATGCCTGAACCATCCCCAAGTCAGCATGGCAGGTTTGATCTAGATAGCTGCACTGTGTATGAAATTCTCAGAAAAACAAAACAAAATCCCTAAAAAAATGCAGTCTTCTCCTTCTCTTCTGTGATGCCCTGAACCTGAGGTATAGATGTTGTGTTGTAGATGCATTGGCTGATTGTGGCTGGGGATCTCATTGTTAGGTTTTTGCATTTTGACCAGTAGTGGCTTTCTGTAATCGTTTCCATTGGATGCAAAGAGAAGTTTCTCGAATGAGGACTGAGAAGGACACCATCTGTGGGTATAACACTAAGCATTTAGGATGCAGTCAAGAATTTTATTGCTCTAGGAAAATAGCCATCGTTACCTAAGGTCCACAGGATTATGTGTCCCATATATAGC